TTTTCCTGAAAGGTTTTATATGAAAAATTGATTAAAACGTGAAATAGAGCTTTAAAACTCAATAAAGTTGACTTTGGTCAATATTTTTAGTAAACGGACTCGGATCAGTGTTTTAACAGTTCTGGTAGGTCCGTATCATAATTGGGGACTTGGGCATATGCCCGAAATATAATTTGGAGGTCCCTAGCTCAAGTTATGACCATTTAACGGAAACTAGAAATATAAAGGCTAAAGATTTTCAAAATTTGACCACGGATTTGACTTTTTGATATCGGGGTCGGAATTTGATTCCGAAAATTGAAATAGCTCTGTTATGTCATTTATGACTTGTGTGCAAAATTTGAGGTCAATCGGACTTGATTTGATAGGTTTCGGCATCGAATGTAGAAGTTGAAATTTCTTAAGTTCCTTAAGCTTGAATTGGAGTATGATTCATGGTTTTAGCGTTGTTTGATGTGATTTGAGGTCTCGACTAAGTTCGTATGATATTTTAGAACTTGCTGGTGTATTTGGTTGAGGTCTCGGGGGCCTCGGATGGATTCCGGATGGTTAACGGATCAAATTTTGGACTTACGAAAAAATCTGAAATTTTGGCCTTCTGGTATAATAGCACCTGCGGATTTTAGACCGCAGATGCGAGCTTGCAGAAGCGGTCAAGTTTCTGCAGAAGTGAAAACTGCAGAAGCGGTCAAGTTTCCGCAGAAGCGAAAATCGCAGATGCGGTCAAGTGTCCGCAGATGCGAAAATACTAGACAGAACCCATAAAATCGGAAGTTAACCATTTTTACTCATTTTTGAGTTTTGGGTCTCGGATTTAGGCGATTCCAAAGGGATTTTACACGACTTTGAATTGGGTAAGTGTTCTATAACCAAAAGTGATTATATTTCATAAATCCATGTCTATATTCAACATTTATTTCGGATTTAGATGGAAGAAATTGGAATTTTTGTAAAACTTTCCAAAAACGAAAATTTAAGATTTGAAGGTCCATTTGACGTCGGAATTTGATACTTTTTATATGGTTGGACTCGTCTCGGAACGAGTGTTCGGATTTCGTAAGGTTTTCTGAGATTCGTAAAATTAGAAAATTCATATAGAATTAATTCCTACAATTTATATTGAGTATATTGAATTATTTATGACTAGATTTGAGGATGTCCGCCGACACAAATTCGCGAGAAAAAGGTTTATTGGAATCTTGAATTTGATTGCAAAGCGAGGTAAGTGACGTGGTTAACCTTGACTTGAGGGAATAGAACCCTTGAATTATTTGTTACGTGAATTTAATGTGTAACGATGTATAGGCAAGGTGACGAGTGCTTATACTTTGTCAAATTAATTGTTTGCATAATTATTTAAAAATAATAAATTATTTTAAGACACGAATTAATTATTATAATAATTGTTTCTCTCATATTCCTTGTAAAATATTAATTCTTGAATTCATGCAATAATTGTTACATGCTTAATTAATTTATGTGTCTTAATTGCTAGTTGACATTTAGCATATTAAATATGAAATTACCTATTTTCTCCCTGATTTCCACAATTAATTGCTACTTGTCATTATTCGTTTCCTAAATAATTTATAACTATTGTGTGCATTATTGCCTAATAATTTCTTACTGAATGAGGTATTTATGGGAGTATTTTTATTATATTTAAGAGTTGTTAAATTATATTGTTGGAGCGGGTTGCACGCCGCAACGGAAATGAAAATGAATATATTGGGGGATCGGGTTGCACGCCACAACAGATTATATTTTAAGTTTATATTGTTGGAGCGGGTTGCACGCCGCAACGAAAATTTATTGAAGAATTATATTTGTTGGAACGGGTTGCACGCCGCAACGGAAATTGATTGAAATAATAATTGGTTATGACTGTTGAGTTGGCTTCAACTGTTGAAATGAGTTACCTATTTTATTACTATTATTGCATACATGTTAATGTAAGTTACCCGCCTTAGCCTCGTTACTACTTCGTCGAGGTTAGGCTCGGCACTTACAGAGTACATGGTATCGGTTGTACTCATACTACACTCTACACTTCTTGTGCAAATTTCGGAGTTGGTCTTTGCGGCATACTATAGATTTGCTCGGATTTAGCTACCAGTGGAGACTTGAGGTATAGTTGCACGACGTTCGCAGCTCTGAAGTCCCCTTCTTCTTTATTTTAGCTGTGTGCTTTCTTTCAGACAGCTTTATTTTGTTCATACCCTTGTTGTATTATTCTAGAAGCTCGTGCACTTGTAACACCAGTTGTGGGATGGTATTCAGACATTGCTAGTATTATGGAGTATTCAGTTTATTTCAGACTTTACTTACGCAATTATTTCTTTATTATTAATTAATTTAAAATTTTATTAAAATGGCTAATTATATTCTAACGTTGGCTTGCCTAGCAAGTAAAATATTAGGCGTCATTACGGTCCCGAAGGTGGGAATTTCGGGTCGTGACAAGTCCCGTGATCGCGAATCACGACTGTGGAGAAGGACCTGGTCCTACTTCGCAAACACGTGGACTTAATCGCGAACGCGAAGGAGACTGAGAGGGGAATGGTTGTGAGGCAGAAGGCATTCGCGAACGCGAAGGGCAGGGTCAGCTGGACATAGCGAACGATATCAGGCGGTCCCGAACGCATAGAGTATCTGGTTACCTGGGAGGAGTTGGCTTTCGTGATCGCGAAGCTTTTTCCGTGATCGCGAAGAAGAGCGGGCCCGGGGCAGATTTGATTTAATACGGGATTTGGCTCATTTTCTCTCATTTTTTACTTGGTTGAGTGATATTTGGAGCTTTTGAAGAGGAGATTCATCATCTATTATGAGGTAAGTTACTACCACTTGTTGTAAGATAAATACATATGGATTTAAACATGAAATTTTATAGAAATTATGGGATTTGGGAGAAAACCTATAATTTGGTATTTTTGGACTTTTACCACGAAAGAGGACATGAAATTAGGAATAAATTATATATTTGGGTTCGTGGTGTTATGGGTAAAGTTTATCTTTAAAATATTTTGGAATCCGGGCACGTGGGCCCGTGGGTTGACTTTATTGACTTTTCGAGCGGAGTTAAAAATTGTTATCAATTGATTTATTATAAGTATTAGAGTATATTTTTAATTGTTTGTACATTGTTTGACTAGTTTTGGAGCGACGGGCATTGGTTTGAGGTGTTAGAGTAGTGTTGGAGCCGGTTATAGAACTTCGGAGTGAGGTAAGTCTCCTGACTAACCCTGTGAGGGGAAATTTACCTCATAAGTGTTATATTCTTATGTGCTACAGGTTGTGGGAGCTACGCACGTATGAGGTGACCGGTGTCCGTGCGTATGTTAGAACTCTTGATTATGTCCGGGTAGACTTAGGTTCACGCATGCTATAATTGTACTATTTGATTTATCTTTGCTCGTGTAATTCCTTATTTCGCGTGACAACTTGAGACTAGACTTGCATAGAGTGATATACTTGCTATTGTAGAGATGTGTCGAGCTACTTGATAATCCGCAGAATAATTTGTGTTTCCCTTATGAATTTCTTCCGCGTTGCGCGTACTCATTGCAAAGTTTTTCTTAAATTTCATAATTCACACGTATATTAGTGAGTGGGGTCACGATCCGCAGCAAGGGTGCGGCTATTGCGGGGACTTTACGGTGAGCTGCATTCCATGTTACGATCCGCAGCATACAGAATATCCATCTGAGTTATTTATATTCTCCTGTCTAACTTATATTCCAGACAAATGTTTTATTATTATTGTACTCCTTAGCAGATGCTTATGCGCTTGTGACACCGAATTTTGGGGGTTCCTACTAGATGTTCATTATTGTAGTTCACGTAATTATTATCATTTCACGTAATTTATATTTGATACGGAAGTTGGAAATAAAAATCACGGTTTTTCTGCGAGTACGAGACCTTACTCTACTTATTTAATGGGATTCATGATTTCAAAAATAATAAAGTGAGTAACTAAGTTGATTAAGCACCATTGGCTTGCCTGACGGCGGCGTTAGGCGCCATCACGACTTATAATGGATTTTGGGTCGTGACAATTATATGCATAATTTTTGTATTAAATATGTATTATTATATATAATTAATATATAATTTATGTATATGGCTAGAAAAAGTAAACAATTAATATGGCCGACTATTTGTGTAAAAATCTCATACTTTATCTTCTTTTTTTTTTTTTTGGTGCAAATGATAAGTTTCATTAATTAAAGCATATGCGTACAGAGAGAGTGGTGCCCAGGATGCACCATATTACAAACTAAACTATTACTAGTAGTGGCTACGTTGTTTGTGGTATCCCTAACGGAACTATCATCACAACAACATGATAAGGTTGATAGTGGTTGATGTACAGCAGTGTTTCCATTGTGAAATGCATTGCTGCTCCTCCAGACCGAAACATCATTTTGATCTTCCATTTCGCATGCCATTGTAGATATTGAGCGCGCAATCATGATCCCTTGCTTATCATCTTCAAAAACTTTTTTAACAAAACTGGTGTTCCCTCAAAAAGTTGTATCATAAAGTTGGTTCCCAAACTACTTCCTGCTTTTGCTAATTGATCTGCAATCCTATTTTGTTCTACATGTTTTACTATTGGGTTATGTAGTTTCAGCAGTAGGTGCTTGTAATCATCATACTTTATCTATATTACTACTTTCATACCTTTATGAGCATAAAGCTTCTCCTATTTAAAAAATTAACTTATTTTGTGACGTATATAATTTTTCTGTTTTAAGGATTTTAGCGAAATTAATTATGCTTTTCTTTTTAAAGCTTATACTGTTAAGCGCTTTTCAATTTTGAATGATCTGAGTTAGTGGGGTGCGCGAATAAACTTTGAACCGGTGATATTATGAGTTTTGAAATTTAACTTTATTTTTAAAAAAAATCTCTTTAGATTATAATAACATTTTATGGTATATTTACTACTCCTTTTCTTTCTTGACCGCGCTTCACGCTGACGGGAAAATAGAAAGTGATGCTAGATGACAGTTTCCTTGTACTCTTCAAATATCAAAAGACAAAAGTACAGTCAACTGACTCTATCGAGCCCAGTCAAAAAATATAAGTAGGGGGATAAAATTTATGAAATTTTCAATGGACAAAATCTTCATTTACTCTTCTAGCACTCTGATTATCCATTCGTAAACCACACTTTCTGGCCTGAAGATGAAATTGAGCCACCGCCGCTAATAGCTTCACCGCCTGCTTCGGCGGCAAAATATCTAGAACCTTCTTCACCGCCGCTCCTCGGAGATGCTCCGCCGCTTCAATCACCGCCATTATCGACTGTTTCAACCCATCAATTACAGTTTCCAATTCCGAAGCTTCCCCGTCAACAAGCAATCCCCCTCTTTTCATCAGCTCAAATATCGGCGGCGCTGCCACTTTTTCTTGAACCTTCGCCATCCCTTTTTCAATTGCCTGTTCGAAACATTATATAATTAAGTAATTAATTTCAATAATTTTTAAGATTTTCAATTGACTGTTACACCATTCAACATGATATCATAATAGAGAATATAGATTCAAATTGCACAATCGTTAAAAAAAAAAAAAAAAATCTCGTGTTTGACTCATAAAAAAGGTTTAGCCGTGAGAATAGTGCCTGTAATTTACCTTCTCTTCTCTTTTTATCTCTGATTTTAGCCTCTTCAATTTTTCTCCTTGCTCTGGTGTTAATTCTTGGCCTATTGAGTAATTAATTGTAGGAAAGAACATAGAAGGTTTAAAACCAGCGATCCAAAGAAATGTTCTTTCTAAAGAAGTATACCAAGGTGGAGAATTAAGAAGAAATATATTTTCATTTGTTGCCTTGAATTTTTCTTGATAATATTCTTGGTAATGATCCAAAACTTGTGTCACCAATTTGCTTCTATTTTCTTCAGCTTCTTCATTGAAAACATCATATGAGGCTGAGACTTTATTTAGTTTTTCAAGAAGATTTTCAAGTTGGATAAGCCAATTTTCGTAGTAGGCATCAATATTGGCTTCTAAACAAGGATTTCTTGAAGTACAGGTTGTGGCCATTTTTGAAATTTGGAAGTGGACTTAGGCTTGGAGGGAACACAAGTGTGATATGGCTATATATATATATAGCAAGTATTTAATTAATTTTTGCATGGTTTCTTTGGTCGGTCAAAGATTTTTTTAATAGTCTTAGGAGTTGAGATTTTTGTGTTGTCAATAAGCTACTAGAGTTAGTGTTTGAGGTGATGCTTCATGCTTAATTGTTGATGGCGGTTTGCTTTTATTATATTTTAGTTCAGAAATGGACGCAAGTATTAGTCTACGTGTGACTACTGCTGTTTCCTTCTGGGACACAAGTACAACACGAGCGGGACGCGTTATAACATTCTTTATAGTATCTTTTGGGTACATTTAAAACAGGGATATTTTCACTTTAGTACCCCCCACGTTTTTTGAGGAAAAAAAGTTGCACTGTCATATGACTGTTTGATTAAAAACTATGGACTTTTGTGCTGTAATTGTACCGCTACTACAACTTGCTTATTAAGGAATAAGGGTTCCAAGTTGACCATTCACTCAATTTAAATAAAATAGACTGGAAAAGGGAACTCTCCACTACAACTTCCTTATTAAGGGGTCGTCTCTTATAATAGTGCTATATTTTATAGGATTACTTATTTCATCTTGATCATCGATGTATCTAGGATTTTAAATTTATGGGTACTTAATTTTTTTTTTAACGTAAAGCTACTATACATTATTATATTGTATAAGTACACAACTAATTGAACACGCATGTAAAAAAAAGTTAAAGAAAAAAACTCATATTTTAATATTATGAACACCGTAAATATGTGATGAAAATGCAATTGGCCAAAAAAAAAAAGAAGATCGGTGAATTTTACCTTTGTGGAGGAACTGTTTATCTTTAAAAGGGATCGAACTTTGGAATTTTTTTAAAGATATTTTTTTCATTGCTATAGAGAATTAGGTAAATTAAAAGAAAAACATAAAGCTAAAGACAAAGGTTAGCAAAAAAAGAAATTTAAAAAAGTAGTATTGGGTTAAGAAAGTGTGCTTGAAAAATAAAAAAGAAGAATTAATTGAGAAAAATATTTAAAAATAAATAAAAAGAAGAAGAAAGAAAGAAACTAGCCTTGAAAAGGAAATTGTTTGCTTGGTTAAAAAAGTACAGTGGTGGGATGGAGTTTCCAACCCCGGCCCCCAGCCAGTATTAATCTTCCTGCACTCTTTCCTAACCGCAACATCCATCATAGTTTATGTTACCGGGGTGCTTTTTGACCTTTATATATATTTTTTTAAAATTTCTATGGAATTATACCTATAATAAGTTAAGGTTAATGGGTGATTAAGCACCCAAGTAACGGGTGATTAAGCACCCAAATTTTACATGTAGATTTACCTCTGCCATCTTTTGTATGGAATAACTAATGCTACTATTTTAGGGCTCTTTTGGCATGAGGAATAAGATATAATTAATCTTTGAATTTAATTTTAGACGAGTTTATCCTATATTTAGTTGGGATAAAATCGTGGTATAGCTAATCTCGGAATTAATTATCCTAAAATTTTAGTATTTCTTTTATCTCTATAGGAGGGTGTGATAACTAATCCTAGGATCGATAACTAATCACGAAAATAATTAACCATTAGATAATTTATTAGAGTAAAAGTTATCCTGAAATTAGCTAATACCCCAAACCAAATATTGGATGAAGTTAATTCAAAACTTTATCCCGAAATTATTATTCATATACCATGTACCAAACGACCCCTGAGGGTTCAAAGTTGATCATTCACTCAATTTAAAATACATTAGAGAAGGGAATTGTTGTAGTTTGTGCTCATATTGTAAAAGAGAATTGTGAGGGGCGGAGCTAGTACATTCCGTACATATTCAAACGACCTCAATAGCTTTTGTTTAGATATTATATTTGTATTAAAAAATTTATTTTATATATTTATTTATTTAATTACAAACCCAAATATTAAAATGAAAGGCCAAATGAATTGAAATTTCCCTATTAGTACAGGTCATTTTGGGACAAGCAGATCATTTATGATGATGAGGATGAGTTTCAAGAGAATGATTCGGAGTTCTTGCATAGTGCAACCATATAGTACCAGACACGAGATAGATCTTCCAAAGAACAAGGTCTTTTTCGAATAAGCCAATTCATTTGGGACCCCGCAGATCCACCCTTTTTCCTATTCAAAGATCAACCCCCTCACTTTATGTTTTCACATTGAGAATTATCTGCAGATGAAGAGATGTCAAAGGGACTTCTTACTTCCCAAACAGATCCTTTGAGCAGTAATACGTAGGGATGACCGGATTTGAACATATGACATTTTATACCCAAAACAAACGCGCTACCAAGCTACGCCACATCCCTTCAATTGTTCCACAGTGTAATTGTAGAGAATTCCTATCTTTTTTTCACATGTTTATTTCCTCCATTGATATATATAATTTTTCTGTTCATTTCGTCTTTTTGGTCTCATTTAACGTATAATTTAACTAAAAGGAAACCGAGGACACCTATACCAAAAAATCAGTGTGCAATTTGCATGAAACTTATTTTTCAACTTCAAACTAGTAAGTGAGGTTTCATAAATCCATAACCAGAAAAATAATTTTTTTTTTTGTTTTTTTTTTTGGAAAGTATTTTCTCATATTAAATTTTGTATTGGACAAGAAAGGAATTTCCCTTGTGTATGTGCGCCTCAAAAAGGTATAGTACTCGATTCCATTACATGCATCGGGGGCAGTCGAAAAAGCCACCATTTCTTGAAATACTGACTATAATGCTATCAATAATATGGTGACAAGTTTAAAACTCATAAAATTCAAATCTTAACTCCAGTTCTATCATGGGATGAAGGCCAGGCTCCACCTAAGAAAACTAGCTAGTGCCACACATACCTTTTTCTATATATATTTCATTTAATTCCTAAAATGATTTGCTCTAAAAAGAAATAATATGGATCGTAGGTCGATGCACAAACCGAAAGAAAACACTTAGAAGAAAAACATATGTTACGCTGTTATGCAATCAACCTAATAAATATACCTTTTTTTTTTTTTTTGGGCGTCATAATTATCAATGTGGTAACACTTCAATCTTAATGCATAATGAACGGAATTTGTGCTTTCTCTATCTTAATATCAAACGAATTAAAGTTTAGGCTTAAAAATGAAAGTATTTCAATACGCAATTTTGATCTTTATCTTTGTATACGGATAGAACCGAGCTCTATGCTTGATCGAGGCATCTGGAATAATAGGTCAAAGCTCGACACCTGCGTAGGAGATCAAAGTTACAGATGTGACTGAGCTCGATATCGAGGATCGAAGTTTGAATAAGACAATTAGATTTGCCCTCGAATTTATCTGGGGCACGACCGACCCCGCTTCTAATGACCTCGAAGAAAAGTTTTGCCAACTCACATGACAAGTATCCGTGATTCTCGCCACTGACCAATTATTATGGCAGAAATTACGGGATTAAGTCAAAAAGGGAGCCAACGGTATACATAATTTCATATAAAATAATGTCTTAAAGGTTTCATCTCCCTATATATATATATATATATATATATAAAGGGAATGGAGTAAATCTTTGGACACATTATAACATACTTAAGAGAACAAGATACCATTTTTTCCAGCTTGGTTCATATTATTCTGGCTTCAATAATATCACATCTAAATTCAACAGAACTTAATCTTGTGAGGCTTAAGTTGTTCAATCTACATGGTTTGTATTTATTTTTCTACTTATTCTTCCATATTAAAATTAGATCACATATCCTTAAAAAACGTATAAATTCAATTGTTATCCGATTTTTGGGGTAAACAGTTTTGCGCCCACCGTGGAGCTAAGGATAATAATGGTTATTTGGTACAAACCTTCATAACACACACTACTTTATACTTGCTCTTTGAAGTATCTTTGATCTCAGGCCGAAAATGGCAAACTCTCAACTGGTACCTCTACATTTTGACAACGAGACTGGTCATCAAGGTGAGAATAACAATATGGAGCCCGCTAATGCAGGGCCACCCGTCGTTGGGATTCAAACTGCAGATCCAATCGAAGTAAATTCACATGTGGCCATCGACGCGAACTTGCGGACCGACCCTAAAAAATAACGTCTGTGGTCGAGCCCGATCTGTAGCTCGAAACACACAGAACATTGAAGAAGACGGTATTAGTCTACGCATGTTCTTCAAAATGCTACAAGCTCAACAGGAGATAATAGCTCAGTTGCAATGCCAAACCCAGGAACCGAGCAGGGTTGAACCCGATCCACCACAAGAAGTCACCCACAGAACGGAACCGAACGTGGTAAGGTCGAATGAACAAGAATCGGGGACTAACCCCAAAATTATAAAAATATTCGAGGAGCTGACAAAGCGGATAGAGTCAGGGGAAAAGAGGATCGAAGCGAATGATAAAAGGGTCGAAACCTATAATTCTAGGGTAGATCAAATCCCAGGAGCGCCCCCGATATTGAAGGGACTTAATTCCAAAATGTTCGTGCAAAAATTTTTTCCCTCAAGCGCGGCCCCAAAACCGATCCCCGAGAAATTTTGTATGCCCGAAATACCTAAGTACAACGGAATGACCAATCCGAACGAGCATGTAACCTCTTATACATGTGCCATCAAAGAGAACGACTTAGAAGACGTCGAAATCGAATCTGTTTTGCTGAAAAGATTTGGGGAGACCTTGTCGAAGGGAGCCATGATATGGTATCACAACTTACCCCTAATTCTATTGACTCATTTGCTATGTTTGCAGACTCTTTCGTAAAAGCACATGCCGGTACCATCAAGGTCAAAACTAGGAAATCAGACCTTTTCAAAGTCAAATAGAAAGAGAACGGGATGCTTAGAGAGTTCGTGTCCCGTTTTCAAATGGAACGAATGGATCTGCCGCCGGTCACTGATGATTGGGATGTTCAGGTTTTCACTCATGAACTCAATATTCAAAGCTGCTTCGCAGCAATTAAAGCAAAGCTTAATAGAATACCCTGTCGTTACCTGGACCGATGTACACAATCGATATCAATCAAAAATCAGAGTCGAAAATGATCAACTCGAGGCACCTTAGAAGTCTATATACTGCGCCAGGGCTCTCAATAGACCCAAGAGGGACATAAATCGTGAACCAGGATCAAACAGGGATCGACATCGGCCCTATACTGGA